AGAATTAACCAGCAATAAGGCTCAAAGGATACCTTCAGAAATCAAGAGTACCCCTGAGCATTTGCAAAGTGTAATCTGCCTCCTCTTCCTCCAATCTTCTCTAGCTATGCGAGGGGAAATTAATTATTTGACTCTGTGCAGAAAATCCTTCTGGCACATTTTTAAAATTTTCAGCTCCCACCAGTCACTGCCGGGGTTTTTCCACCTCTGCATTTCCACCTCTGCATATATAAATCTCGGTTTGGAGTGGATTTGAATCTTCCCTTTATTGCTGTTGATTTCTGATTTTCTTCAATCTATTTTTACTGTGAGACATCACACACACACACACACACACACACACACACACACACACACACGGAGTCATGGAAGGAAATTGATCAATATTGCCTGCGGGAGGAAAGGCATCCCAGCTAGTTTAAAGAGACTCTCTTTCCCTGCTGTTACTTTTTTTGGAATTGAGCCTTGACATTAATAGGAAAGGATGGCTGGATGTCAGCGATTCTAATCTGGTTACCAAAGCACATTGCATTTTATGTTTTTTTTTTAAAAGAAAAGATTCCAGAAGCCCTGGAGTTCCCCACGTGTGTGTGTGTGTGTGTGTATATATATATATATAATGTATATATATATAATGTATATATATATAATGTATATATATAGTGTATATATATATAATGCTTGCACTGGCACTAAGCCGAAATAGATTAATGGCTGGCAAAATAGGCATAAAACAAAATTTAAAAACAGGCCAAAAAATAATTAAAAAGAGGTACATATATTTTTTTAAAAAAATGCATACAAACTTGGATTGACACGGCATGCTGCCTAACCGTTTATACGTTGCAGATTTGCAAAGATTTGGTGTGTGTGAACAATGTCGTTAGTGCCTTTATTTTATTTCTTGATTCCAACCGATTTAATGCGGCTGCCCAACTCAAGACTCGCAGGTGGTTTAAAATAATGACTTGAACGTGGGTGCAGAAGAACCCGGATGGATGGCATTATTCCATCCCAAGAACCGGGGACTTTCCCTCTTCCTCTGGGATCGGAGCTCAACTTTCCAACCTGGCCTGGGGAATAATTCAAATTTCCTAATTTCAGCTTTGCTTTGAAAACAGGGGGGAAGGAAAGCTGGCTCAAATGAGGTTAACATTTCCCATCCAGGTGGGAAAATCCTGCCGGGATGAATTAGGCGAGGAAGAGAGGTGGGGAATCTTCTTAACCAAGTTAATTTGACAGTGAGTGATTTGAGAGGGGGACACCCTCTTTGGGGAACCGAACAAAACCCTTCTTCTCGTTTCTCTCCCGGACTGATGTAGCGAGCAATGAAATGGAGAATTCAAACCATAAGGAATCAGGCCGGTTGCCGAAACGCCTTTGCAAGATCTGATGTGCAGCTGAACTAGAATTCCCACCCACCCACCTTCTCCTAAACCCAGCAGGCAGGGTGGGGAGGCATTTGTGCTCCCCGTTACAGCTGGGTGTAACTGGGTGCCTAAAATTGGCCTAAATTTTGAATTGAGGATATTTTGAAGCACCTGGGCAAGAGACAGATGGAGTGTTTCCGCTTACAGACCTAACCCCAAATTGGTCCCAGATGCTTTGATTCTGTGTTTCCATCCTGGCTGTCTGTCTGCCTGGCTGTGCAACATGGTTGGAGGGTTATTTTTTTCCCCTCCCTCTCTGATCAGAGAGATGAAGGGCTGTTCGGAAAATAGGCTCAGCGTGTTGAAAAAAAAAACCAGTGAAGTGTCCACTGTAAAATGAAAGATGCTAGAGGCTATTCCAGGGGTAAAATAAAAATTTTCGGTTGGGGGCCTGTTTTATTCCTGCTGTGACTGCTTTTTTGAGTCAGGTGGGGGAGAAATAATATTTTTTGGCTTCTTGTCTTGGTACTTCGTGTTTTAGCAAAACTGTTTTCTAAATAAGCTCTTCTGTCATGTCCTCGTTCTCAGCCTGGCAGCAGTTTAATTACACGACCTACCATAATCAGGAGGAGGTTTAGTTAAAAGGATGGAGTTTTTTTTTTTTTTTTTAATTACTGTAAGAATCTTCCTTGTTTTAAGTGGAATGGGCTCATCGTGGTACAGCTATCTTTTTGGGAAAGGAAGGGTTTGGAACAAGGAGAAGAGGTTGCAGAGACAGACAGACAGACACACAAACCTGTCAACTGAATTTGTCTCTTTAAAAAAGGAGATCAGGAGTGTGAAATTCAACAAACGGCTAGTTTTATTCCTTAAACTAGACAAACCGTGATCTGTGGGGTCATTTCCCCCCCGCCCCACAGATATAGGCAGTCCTCGACTTATGACCGCAAATGGAGACCAACATTTCTGTTGCTGAACGAGACAAAATCCATGCAATCGATTTGCCACAGAGAGGAGGGGCTCAAGCTATTTTCTAAAGCCCCCAAAGGCCAGACAAGGAACAATGGATGGAAACTGATCCAGGAGAGATTCATCCTGGAAATAAGGAGAAATTTTCTGACCGTGAGAAACCATCAACCCATGGAACAGAAGTTGCCCTCGGAAGTTGTGGGAGCATCATCACTGGAGGCTTTCAAGAAGAGACTGGACTGCCATCTGTCAGAAATGGTGTAGGGTCTCCTGCTTGGCCGGGGGGTTGGACTAGATGACCTACAAGGTCCCTTCCAACTCTGATTATCTGTCATTTGTTAATTTTGCCCCATTTTATGACCTTCCTTGGCACAAGTTGTGAAGGGAATGCCTGCAGTTGTCCAGTTAGTCACTTGGTTGTTAAGTGAATCCCCATTGATTTTTATTGTCAGAAGGTCGCAGTAGGTAAATCCTAAGACCCCAAGAGTCTGCAAACCATCATAAGGATGAAGCAGTTGCCAAGCGTCCGAATTTTGATCAGACGACCGTCGAGGTGCTGCAGTGGGGGTTGTTTTATGACATTTTTGTATTCTGTCATAAAATGCTTCTATGACTGATTTTATATCCTAAAAGGTTTTATAAAATGGGCTGGCTCTTGTGATGTGCTTTGTACGGGCCTTTCTGTGGCTTCATACAGCAATCCTCGACTTACAACAGTTCAGTTAGTGACCGTTCCAAGTTACAGCGGCACTGAAAAAAAAGTGTTTTTCACACTTAACGACCATTGTGGCATTCCTCACAGTCACGTGATCAAAATTCAGACGCTTGGCCACTGGCATGTACATAAATGTTCTGTTTTGGTGTCCCCCGTTTTGCAATCTTTTGGCAAGTGGGGGGAAAAACCCGAAACACTTAACAGCCATGTTACTAACTTAACAGTGGCAGTGATTCAATAAGCCCTGATTAGACTAATCGTGACTTAGTGTGAGGCATGAAACCAATCAGGATATTTAATCCAGGCATCTCCTTTCTTTTCGTGATAAAAGCAAGGAAGATTGGGCTAGCATCGGCCTCAGTTGTTAGAAGTGAAGCTTAGTTAAACCCCAAAGAGGTGGGTAAATGATGGCTTAGGTATTCAACCAGACTGACATCCATACATGCTCCAAATTTCTTTGGAGAATATAGAAACAGGGTTGGCAAAACCTGGAAGACCCTCAAATTACAATCCCTCAAAAACCTATCCATCCATCTATCTATTCATCCATCCATCCATCTCCATCCATCTTCAT